TACAGCCTTTTTCCCATCAACGAGTCATTCTCGGCGCTTCAAAAAGGGTTAGACGAGCTTGTAAGGTAGTCATCTTTCTGATCCCTTGTCCTCAACACTACAGTGCCGAGAGTTAACCTTATCTCTTCTGTACGCCGATAAACGTCAAACTTCGCCTAGTACTTCAAACACCATTGTTGTTAACGAATGCATTATACCTAGTTCACTCACTGTTAGATATCTTGGTGTATGTTTATCCCAAAAGTTAACATGGTTTACGCACATCGATGAAACTTTTCGAAAGTGAAGGAAACTATCATCTTATGTGCTGCTGCTCAAAATGATTTCAGTACCACGCTATTTAAGCTATACATTTGTAGCTACCTGTATACCCCCTCCTTGGTTGCATTGCTGGTCTGTTATTTTCCCTGGTATTCTTCAAAAGGACTTTACAATTATTATCCGTTCGATTAAGGCAGTGGAATATCCCGAAATTCTCTTGCAGACTTCATTGTTACAAAGCATTTTGATGCATGTCACAGATTTTCTTCGTAGATTTTACATGACCCTTATCACCCACTCCACGATGAGTTATGGAAAAGTGGCTCTTTCTCATCTACACGCATAATATTTTAGCTTCTGTATTCTCGTACTGCTTCTTATCAAAACCCTGTTTTGCCTTATTTATCACCTCTTCTAGTGAACTCTACGAAGATCGTTGATGTCACACGTGAAACTTTGCCTGAGTGAATGTATGTATATTTTATTTTTTTACCATTTGCCAGTCCTTTTAAGTAGCTTTCTTTCGTACCGAATATTTTTCGTCCGCAGTTCTAGTGTAAAAAATGTGCTGAAATTGTGCTCAGTCGGGTACATAAAGCTTATGTTGACTTGACTTGACTTGAACTACCTTGCATGTGTGGTGACCCCAGCCTTCTTAATTTTAGGACATTAGTATACAGCAAGCGATTATCAAATTAACAAACAGCCTAAGTTTTTTGTTAAAGCATGCACTTAATCAACCTTCTGATGTAACACGCTGAACACTAGCTATGATTAGCAAGCAAGGAATTAACCTCCTTTCAATGGAACCGAACGTAATGCTTTGCATGTACAAGCAGTCAAGTAAAAACTGTATCTTTTGCTCGCTTGGAGCTTGGAATTTTAGATTTATCACACAATCCGTCGATGTGATTAAAAGGAGCATAAAAAGAGTAAAACGCATGCAGTGACAATTAAAAGACGGCCAAAGAAAAGTTTAGCGGGTGCGCATACTTTCGCAGTTTAAATTTATTACTTAAGTCTTGGGTACCGGTCTTCGGGTTAAGTAGGGATCCGGACAAAGAAGGAATGACCGACTTGCCGTACACCCGCGTGGGAGGGGGGCGCATATACTGCTCTGTACTTTCGTTTGGTAGAGAAAATAGCTACTCAGTAAAAGGTTGACTGATATTAGTGAGGATCACCAGGGCAAGTTTTGTGCATGAATTAACGTGAGCAGATACTGCAATTTGAGCTGAAGTTGGTGGCTTTGGAATGCCAGTGCGTTGAGACAAGTGCTTCAGTGAAGTAGCAAATACCTGTAAGCGCTTATCAAATAGACCCGATAAACTACAGTAGAGCAGCAAATCTAATATGCTAGAATACATGCTGTTAATCGCAAACTAAATTCGTACTAGTTGGAGGACTATCGCAGATGGAAGACTGAACGACAGCCCCGTAGATTTGATGAACTTCCAATGGAGGAAAAAAATGCATGCAATCCATGGAGTCAGGCCGTCGCCTTTGGACGCTTTGATTCAAGCTGCTTGGTGCAATTGAATATCCGACAAAACTGGGGCCAGCAATCTTTTTAAAAACTGGCAATTGCTTGAGGGTTTTAATCTATTATCTTTGCATACATGCTCAGCGGTTGCTTACTGTCCTATGTGGAATTCACCACTCCAGCTCAGAGGTCATGGCAGTAGCGTTATTTTATTACGCTTGAAATTCCGGAGCACAGGGTGACCAGGAATGTCAGAAGCATTATTCACGACCGCAGACAGTTATTACTGGAGTTCCCCGGAGCAGTCATCTTTCCCCAATTACATATCCATTTCTCAAAATTCTATCAAGTTGCCGACATACAGCGTGACACGTAAAATTAGAAATGCAGTACAGACGTTTGGGACGTGTCCAAATTTCTTGTGTTCAAATGTGTTAACCGTCAAAGTTCATACAATGCAAGTTCTTCCTAACTGCGCGATTACTGTATTTTAAAACTGCCAGAGATGACATACTCACCCCCTTTGTACCCAGTGTGAGTTAGCAAACCACCCATAAATAATAACCTTCATACCCATGACCATCGAGCTCATTCAGGCAAGGAAAATCTCGCCTGTTTTTAGGAGAATTCCTCTTGGCACCTATTTGCAATTATCAGCATGCCATCGAAAGGAGCACTTAAATTTTAACTTTAACCAGTAATAAAAAATTGTTCTAGGGTTCTCGTTGATTAAGTTCTGGATTGTAGATAACCATAAATTCTTGTCTAATTAACAGTTCACCTTTGTATGCATCCGCGATGAATGGTTCAACATAGGCCAAAGCCTACCAACCCCGAAATGCCATTATTCTGTGGCAGTTCAATAGTAGGTTCGAACTGCTTAACCTGTATGTGTAACATCGTAGGCCACTTACTACTGCTTGATGGATGCTTTACACATTGAGTATCTGCAAGAATAAGCCCAATGACTCCAGTATTCATCTTGTTCACTGCTCTAGTGGCCACTATACTCCCTTTCCTTGGGAAACACGATGACAAAGCAGCGTCTCTTTTGAACATGTCATTTGAAAACTGGTAAATCCCTGCATTTGCTTGCCAACAGCTGATGTAATCAAACAGTCAACTGTCCTGCGCTAATAACGTCGCCACAAGTGGTCACAAAACGGTTGCGACCGAATTGTCAAGCTCTGCAAACCACCAAAAATTGAGCGACCAACCCGGACTCCCAGCCTTTCGTTATTTTGGGCGTTTCGCTGTCCTGTGCGGTATTGCACGAAGCAGCAAAGATTGATCAACTTTTTAGGTCCCGAAACCTTTGGCTTGCTTACTGACCCATGAAGTGGGATGTAAGTTAGACGAGAGCCTGCATCGTCCATGGCGCTTGGCCTAACCTGAAGGTTGGTCGGAGGTCGCTCATATGTGAGAAGCGTCTCTCTGGCAAACATTCCTCTCATATGAGTTAACGTATCGAATCAAGACGGACTTCTTCTGAAGTGGATCGATCAGCAATTTAGAGAGGTGGTCGAGTAACCTTGAGAAGGCTTAGTTACGCCCAACGATTGTAACAGGCATATTTTGCAAATCGATGTAAAAAGAAACTCTAGGCGTTAGGATGTCTCAAGCGTCAATTGATATGAGTTAGGATAGGAAACTTTCAAGTCCAGGTTTGTCAAATGCATGCAGAGGGAACATTCTGTTGGACACTTAAAGACTGCTGCTACCCTAACCCGATCAGTTGCTAGTTGAGAGCAAACTAGGACCCAGTGGACTGCTATTCTAACGAACTAAGGACTTAAGAGCTGTGTAGTTTCTACACCACCTAAGCTCATAATCCTGAGACACTGTTACGGAGTTAACGGTGCCATCTCATATTTATCTAGTTCTCCAGACAGATGTCAAAACACAGTTATGTTGATTGCATCACTTCTGTGTAGTGTCACTTTTACTACCGTTATGAGAAACCTTTTCTTCGCAATGCATGGGGAACGGCATTCTTTTGCAATCAGTGGTGAATGCGTTAAATGTTGCCACCGTACCACTCGTTACAGAATGCTGGTCGTCAAATCAGTAAGTCTGGGAGCCTGCTGTGCATTCACACTTCATAATGATACTTCCGCTCGTGCGGTCTGCTCACACTATGGTTCACTTAGTTCCCGAATGGTATTCATGGGGGCAATCACGGTGGTGACTAGTAGCCTCTTCTAGTATGGCAAATCTGCGAGCAACCGGTTATCCTGTAATAAACATACCTCTGATTGATGTCATTTCAACCCAAGTTTCCGAAGATTTATTATCTCCTCTTATTGAGTTACTTTTCCTCTCTTCACCATCATGGGCACACGAGGTATGTCAAGTAACGCTTTAGGATAGTCGGCAAACTAATCATTAGCAACGCCAAATTAACTGATCAGCAAACAAATATCGCACAGAACGAATGCAATGAGTCACAAGAGGCTCTCATTGAGTCCGAAAACCATTCTTAATGAGAAAGTTAAAAAACACTACGAATTGAATTCGCTAGGTGCAGTTTTACACGTTTGTCAGACAGGAAAGGCGCCCTAGTAAGCATTGAATTCATCTAATATAGGCATTACACTCGCGCACCATTATCTACGATAGTACATAGGTGATTTGAACCAATACTTCATCGCCATGCAACCCAGATGATCTTTGGAGTGAGTAAAAATAATAGGGGAATGTAGGACCTATGTTAAAGCCTATATGCTTAAAGTGAGTCGTCGGGGCCTATGTACCTACAACATGTCAGCAACACACCATCACCAACAACTAGCAATGTTGTGAAGAGAGGCAACAACGAATGGCCAGCCTCCTGTTACGGCTCACGTTATAACCTGTAGAACGAATTTACGACCACCCAAGTCGCATCCCCATCAAATGTCTACTTTTACGTTGATCAGCCTCATCACGCAGCATGGATCATCCGTGTATCTGTCTCCTTGTCCATTTACTGTTCCAACGCTACATACCACGCCCAAATTACTGTGACGATTTGTACGATTGCCAGTTCATCGAAGTCCTATCTTGTTTTCACTCGTACACTCCTTTGTGTTCAGTCTTATGGCACTGTTTCCCTTGATTTGATCGATCTGTGTGATTCTTACTGCTTTGTATGGCCAAATATGCCAAACCTTAACGCAGCACGTTTTCACTGACGGACACCTCCCTATTGCCACTGACCCATTTGGATTCTTAGCATAAGCCCTGTGTTTCACCTGATGCCATTGTTTCTTTATAGCGTTATTGTGCTTAATGGTCTTTGACTTTGGAGCAAATGATCAAAGTTCTTTTGCTTTGGAAACATCTGACCCGTCATGTTGCACGGTGCCAAGGAATAAGAAAACCTCCGCGAATGCCAAGGAATGCATGAATGAACCTACAAGTTGAGAATTTGTCTGTCGTTGATGACACAGTTTCTCGCGCTGGATGGCACAGTAGTTGTAGTAGTGTGCGTGCCGCTTGAAGACTAGTGGAACTTAAAAGACAACAGGCTGACACTGAATTAAAGTTAGCTAAGTTGCGGCTAGAAATGGAAGTGAGTCCTGCTTGCCGCGACCACCTCAATGCCTCTAGTTATGTACCCAATATTAGGATGGATCGAATGAGTCAGTTTTTGTATGATGGTCAAGAGACCGTGCGACTGATGATTACCTTCATCCCATATTTTCAACCGTTACCAGGAGGATTGTCGTATGTCATTAGATTTGCCAAAGACAGAGTTAGAATTTTTCGATAGTAATCCGGCAGCTTGCTGGAGGTTCATTAAGCAGTTTGAATATTTTTCCGAGAGCCGCGTGAGTGACGGAAGGCAGTGTTTGGTCTATCTAGTTTGCTTTTGTAAGTGTCCTACAAAGGAGGCTGTGGGCGAGTGTGTAATGCTGCCCCCTGAACAGGCCTTTCACAAGGCCATGTCCATCCACAGCGAAGTGTTTGGTCAGTGCCATGTTATTTCCCCATCATTAACCAAAGGTCTGATTACCGGTTTGAGACCCCTCGAGGGTGATCACAACGCTGTTGTGCGTCTCTCCATAAGACTAGATAATTTGCACGTAGCCCTGTCTCAGATGAATTTTACTGCCGATTTAAACATCGAGCGAATAGAGAGTGTTCTGCCAAACGCAATGCAAACCAGATGGGTGAGAACGGCTGAATCAGTTGTTCAAGACGGATGGGAAGTTGTATTTAGAGACTTGGCGGACTTGGTCGCCACCGAAGCTCGTGTTGCCGATAATAGGTTTGAGCAGATGGCGACCGCAAGTACGCCACAACAGCTGAATGAAGCTCGGCCGAGACGATTATTTGGATGCAAAGGAAGCGATCGGAAGTTCGCCCTATGCACCATGTTAGAAAAGCCCAAGGAATCACTGTGTTTGGCTTGTACTGACAAGCACACCACTTTATCTTGTTCTAAGTTTGCAGCCCTGGACGTAAACAGATGCTGGGATCAGGTTAGAGACAGGGGCAGCTGTTACAATCGTCTAGCGACTGGTCCGCGCGCCGTCAGTTGCCAGGGCAACAAGGGTTGCAGTCTGGCCATACGCAAGAGACGACATCACTCGCTGTTACCTAGCGAGTCAACGCAGAGGACTATCTAGAAAGAACCGAGCAACTGCTACAATATTTACAGCACTCTAGAAAAGGTCTCGCTCGGAGTGTTACCTGTGTACTTGATAGGCCCCTTGCGATCCATTGAGACGTATGTTTTAGTAGATAGTACAGAAAGATATTCTACGGGAGGCTGGAGTAAAGATCGATTCCTGCTTCTTTGAAAGTGCAAGCAGTGAACGCCTGTACCTCATTGGATGTGGGCCATGCTAGTTTCCGATCGTCCTCTCTGTGCGGTTTCGATACCATTGTTGTACACCATGCAAAACGCTTACGTAACCTACCACTACAACCAGTGACAATGTCTGTCAGCCAGTAAGCTGCGGGATGGCCTCATTTGATGGACGTCAACTTCAATGATTTGAAAGATACCAGGATCAGGCTACTCCGGTGTGCCGTTGTTCCTGAAGCCCACTGGCAGATTGAATGACGAGATGCCGGACGAAAACCTTCTTTTGATGCAAAATCTCTACTTGGTTGGATATTGCTTGGACCCGTTGGTCGGAGTATTCAGCTTTGTGTCTTCTTGTGTTGTGTACATCTAGATGATAAGACACTCGAAGAGCAGCTCAAGGTTTTATTTGCTAGTGGTTTCGAAAGTGTTGGTTAGAAGAGTCGGTCACTACCCGGGGAAGATAAAACAGCACTATCTATCGTCGTAAATATCTTACGCCTCCTTGGTGGGCATTACGAAATAGCCCTGCCTTGGAGAAATCGGAGTGCAGATGTTCCCAACAATTACGAGGCAGCTCGGCGTAGGTTGGACTATTTGAGGCAACGGTTACTGAGTAGGCTATCATTCTGAGGACGGTACCTCTCGTTTTTATGGAAGATACTAAGTAAAGGTAGATTCAAGCTTTGTAAATGGGTCTGCAGTCACATACAGGTGTACAATACGGTTCCGCAAAAGGAGCTCGCTGAGTCAATTAAGCCGATAGCTGAATTGCCTGGGGTGGTCAGGTGGAAGTTTGGATTATCCTGGGATTCCGGTGAGAACAATTTTCTCTCTTAGTTCACCATACCAGGGAGTCCGAATACGAGAAGGGGCACGTTGTCTGTAGTGTCTTCTATGTATAATTCCTTGGGTCTAATCGACTCTTTAATTTTGCTCCCTAAGTTATTACTGCAAAGGTTTTGTCGAGACAAACTATGTCGGGATGACCCAGTCACTGATGAAGACAGTGACACCTGGAGTTCCTGGCTACGTGAAATGAAAGCGTTAGATGTCTTGAAAATTCATCGATGCATTCGCAAGCTTGGGGGGACAGGAGAGCGGCCGTAACTGAACGTCTTTTGTGATGCATCTGAAGCTGCATATGGTGCGGTTGCTTATACTACATTGCACGCTGAAGAGATCGCATACAGCTCTCTGTTATCTGAGAAGTCGCGAGGCGCTACGTCCCTAGCATCCTTGAAGAGCTGCCTCCTTGGGTGTGGTTTGCTGATTATTGTCGATGATGAGTGGCTCGGATTTTGCTCCAGTTCTGAGCCAGCTGACTTAGAATTGCAGCATTTCACTGCTCAGGTTTGTGCGACAGCAAGGGTGACACCGTTGTTTATCCGTATTAACAGATATTCTGACTGGACTAAGTTACTAAACGTAGGTATGTGGTTGTCTCGATTCAAGCAGCAAGTTAATGCCCGTAGACAGGGAGCTCATGGGGTCTAGCAACGCAATCGACTAATTACCCTGCATGAACACGACAAAACAGAGTACGACGTCATTCGAATCGCCCAACTCTACGCTTACGTAACAGAGCTAGAATGGCTCGAAAAGGCAAATGCGTACTCAGTGGCCTCTAAGGCGGAGATATGACAAGGCCCTTTGGCCCGCTTTCGCCCAATACTACGAGGTGGCTACTTCTATGTTGGTGGCCGTTTGGCGCATTCAGTGTACGACCGTATGGTACTCAGTCCTAACGATTTGCTGATGCTGTGATCTAACGCATCGCATTTCTTGACGGCTTATTTAACAGAAGAAAATTGACGCTGTTGGCGATGTTGGTTCAACATCCCACACCTTGCTGCCAGCTGCGAGCCATCTCCTGGGAGGTTTCCAGCTGAGTACAAGGTGAGTCTCCTGAACCCTAGTCCCAAATGCAATATGAAGCAAACAGCACCCAACTTAGTGGTTCAGGTTGTACCGTTGAATGACGACTGTAGTTGGTGGAAATCTTGTGAGATCGAGGAGAACGTTAATCACCCTGGGGATAACAGATGGCTTATTAGTAGTGCAATCTGGAAGTTTCTGAGAGAAATAGGGAGGAAAAGGATGAATGGATGCATCAGTAGTAACCAGTTCTTACTTGTTAGTCCTGCTGTATTGCAGCATACGTGGAAGGTGGTAAGAGTGCGAAGATACAATCATGATCGCGCGGGGTCTGTCATGCTGCAATGGTGACAAAATCAAGCTAGGGGAGCGAGTAGGGTCTTTAACCACTGCCACCAAGCAATGCCCCTTAGATCCACGGACGTAAAAAGACTAGATACACTCGACCACAGGTGCCTTCGCAATTTAGCTCCCATCTGGTGGGAATACCGCGTAAGCAACGACCGTGTTCGACGCCTTGTTTACGGCACAGGAAAAGGAAAGGAACCGCTCAGCACCGTTATTTCACGCACCAAGCTCCGATGACTCGGCCACGTGTTATGTATGCCAGCCCACCGACTCCCGCGACGTGCGTCCTTGGCTCACCGAGAGTGTGAATAGAAGAAGAGGAGAGGTGACCATGCGATGGCTTGGTCGAGATGAATGAAGGCCCACACTTCGGAGCTGGCCTCGGTTAGAGCGTCTCTGCTCCCTGATTGTGGTACGAAAGACGATGAACACGTTTAGTTGGATACACTTGCTGAAACGGCTAGGAGCTGATCTCAGTGACGGCCACGCTGTGAGTTTCATTGTCCCATCCCGTCCCTCTTAGCCTCCCCCTCCAACCACGATCTCACTGTTTGCATGGAAAATTATGTTTTTACTGCATAGTAGCCGGCTGGCAGCTTACCGGAATGATGCCCATCCGTTACCGGTAGCTCAGATGGCTTGCAACTGTTACATATTTTTCCGCTTTTTCTTTTATGTATTGCGGCAGAGTAGCTAAGGTGTTTCCCACCTTCTAGCTAACGTGTATAACATATATATGAGAAGCCAAACATGAAGATTTATGGCCTTGGGGGAAAACATGGCGCCTTCACAAAAACAATGCTGACACCGAAAACGAGACAGTGTACGTAGCTCTGAGTAATTAATGCATACAGTTGGTTCGTGAAAACAAGTTATCACACCATCTGGACTTAGCGAAACAATTCCGTTCGAACCACAGGCTTCTTAACAGATGAGTGAACGCACTTCGAAAGTTGCAGCTTGGAATCCTATTACTCAGCACGATTGATGGGTATAGACACAACAAAAAGTCGGCCAACATTTCACGGGCCCAGTACTGACCTGCTTTTCAAGGGGTACTATCCTCAAACCTTATACTTGATTCTGTCCCCCAACCATCAGTGTTATCCAACATCAAATTCCTAGCAAAAATGGTTCTGAAAAAGCTACTATCCTTGCGTACACACAGATTTCCTGGAGTGGATAACCTACACCCTAAACCACTGAAGACAGCAGCCATTCACCTAGCCCAGCCAATTGCCGGATTCTTTCAAAGAAGTCCGTCTGATCCTCCCAATTACTGTCCGGTAACATTTCTCTCTGCGTTTGTCAAATTCATGGAAATGATCATCGCTGACGCAATGAGAGGCTACCAGGAAAACGTCGGCGATACATTATTAGGATGCGTTGGTAATTTTATCCCTGAACAGCAGTTAGAGGTTAGAGTTTA